TGGTGTACTTGTCTCATTTACTAGATACTAATTTGGGAGATAGTGAAGAGTTGATCGCTATGATGCCCACCTCCTACAAAGCTTGATTGGCATCAAGTACTAAATTTCAATCAAATAAGAAGCCCCTTGCCCCTTTCACCAACCTGATGTTCCATCTTAATCGCATGTAGACCAGAGTATGGTCATAATAGACAAGTTACAGGAGGTAGTAGATGGTAAGTATCTCGACCAATGCGGGTGGTTAATGTAGTGAAAAGCGTACCATGACGCTTCATAAACTCAGTTTACTAGTTCCTACAGCAAACAAAGAAGCGATATGCATTTCATGTAGACCAGTCACTCCTCATGATTTTATGTTATTAGAACTGAAGTTTCCAACCACTATCCATCAGATTAGAGAACCTTATGACGATCCCACGTACACCGTGCTAAAAAGGGGCCCAACTTAAAATTACACGTTTGTCAGAAAATACGAAAAACTATTTCCTAGCCCATGGTAATCGTATGGCCACGAGAGACTTTACTTTAGATTTTTCTAACAAATTATAACAAAAATTTCCTCCAGCTTTAGCTAAAAGGTAAATAAAGGTCTGTGTACATTTTCAGTGGATAATTTCAAAAAGGTAAAATTTTGAGTTGTGCCTCTTGTGAAGACGGTATGCGACATTTGCAAAGAGCTTTGACAGTTACAGAATGGGGTTGTTTGGAAGTTTTTTTTTATTAAGGTGAACTCACTCTCGATAAAAATTTCTAGACAACACCACTCTGCGATTCCTGCTTTGGCCTTACTATCCACTGACTTCTAGGCTGTAAAACTCATCTCTACGGTGACGCGCCAATTTAGGAATGACTTTATTTCAAATTGTAGACATCATCCATAATAAATTTGCAATATTATAAAAAAATCAAAAGTTTTTTTTGAAAATGTTTTCTAGGCTAAATTTGTCATCCGCCCATAGTAAAACCATGGAAACCTAAAGTGAAAAGTTATCCAGTTGGGGGCAAATAAAACTCCTGATAAGGCTGATCGTTTTTTTAGTATATTATTTGTATTCTTGTATTCAGAACAACAACGATGTCAATCCGTATATCATTAAAGCCGCTTAAATGCTAACTAATATTTAAGATTGATTTTCAACACATCTTGGTATAGCAATTATAGAATTCACTGGAAAAACTGATACCATCTTTGATTGCTGCCATTACACAAATAAAAATATGTAGATATGTATGTGACAACAATAAATCAGAATGCAATTGCAAATGCCTATTCGTACTTGTATTCTTACTTATAGCGTTTTTTTTTTCAATTAAAAATTTTGCCTTTTCATTGCCCTTTCCTTTGCATTTATGCCTGGAGGGCACTGAGAAGGCAACATTTTTCAGTAGAAAAGAAAACGCCATTAATCAAGTGCTATGGGGAATTACTTATTTTTTAACAGTCACCTACCATTTCAGTTACTTCGCTTAATTTGCCTAAACGTAATTAATTTATAATTATCTTCAGTAACTCTGCGTTTAGAAGTTTTTTTTTGTTAAATAATATTTAATTGCTTAAATAGTGGGTATAATTAACGTAAAAATGTATTTATTTATAAAGAAAATAGTTGGAACTGTTGTTTTTAACTTTGCTATTTATGTACTTTGTTTTTATTTTGAGGAGTATGAAATGCGCTCAGAGGCACGACTGCTGCAGCTTATTATTCTATCAAAACGACAGTAAGTAACTTTCACACGAGAAAAACGGCATTCACCGCCCATAAATAGAATCCCCAACAAATATAGTAGAAAGTGCAATCCTTACTAAATTTACCCAACCACAGTTTTTTACATCACCAAGAAATGTAAGTTCACGCAGTAATACCAGGAATCTCAACAAATTACTCCTGTAGCAGCTGTAAAGAGGAGGATGAGGTGGAATCATTTCAACACATTCCATTAGAATGTGCAGTCTTCTGGAGGATGGCATGGAAACATTCCGGCTTGCACTTTTTAACTAAGCCTGAGCTCTCAGGCATCGAAATTAGTCGCAATCGAGATTTCTAAACTAACTAAATTAATGAACTCCGTTCAGTTTTTCGTTGTATGTATCTCTATCATTCTCCTAATTGTCCAAGTTTACCCCCTTGCCTTGGGGCGACACTTTAACCTAGCCTAAGTGCCATCGCGATTTTAGAAATTCAGACCATCTAAAAGTTCAAACATTTTATGAAGTTTGAAAACTTTTTAATCCACTTCAAAAAAAGGAGGAGGTTGTTTTTTTCTTCTTTTTTATATACATATCGACACGTAAGTGGAAGAACGACCTATCTCGGTAGCCAGTTCGAAAATGTCCTATCTCAGAAATCTTTTCAAGAAAGCTCTATTTCAGAATTTTACTGAAGAACGCTCTATCTCAGCACATTTTCAATACATTTTCACTTGAGTTAGGGTGTTCTTCAATTAAATTGTGAAGTAGGGCGTTTTTTAAAAGATTTCTGAGGTAGGGCGTTTTCGAGCTGGCTGTCGAGATATGTAGGTGGATCTTCGACGCAGGTGTCGATATTTTACCGAATTACTTTGGACCACGTAATTGTCGGAGCGATTGTTTGTTATGCTTACAACATACTTGTTTGTTTGGTGTTTAAAACTCCTATTTAAATGGTTTGGGCTTAATGGACAATATTTTTATCAGAAATTTACAAAAAAAATTTAACATGAAAAACATTTAATATCTGTATAAAATCAACATCTTAAAAGTTGTGCACCTCACTGTTTACCGCACACAATCTTCAAAAGGGGCATAAATCGGTTCGTAGGATTTATCTCCAATTAATGCAAATATTTTTGTTCTTTCTGATTATATTCTCTCAACTACGAAACAGCTATACGAGGTTTTGGTATTAATTGCATTGAATCTGTAGGTACCATCCACAAGCAGTTATATTTTCGATATGTATGTATGTAAGTAAATTTGCTTTCATAAAAACTAAGCAATACTATAATTGTTTTATAATGAATGTCATTCTTTGTGGAATTAAGTATACCGTCTTCGACATACTTTTTACCATCGACTTCATTGTAGTTAGTAAATGTATGCCCTTAAAGTTAAATATTTGTCAAATGTTTAAAGGAATAACAACCAAAATTTTCTGACTACTCACAAATGCAGAGTACTAGAACACAGTCAACTGTTTCCTGTCCCACATACACCCGCGAACATTAAAAATACAACAAATATTATTTATAAAAATCAAACGATATTCGATAACCAAAATCTTCAATGAAATTATGCAATTTGCTGCTAAATTTAGCCTCGGAATAACCTTGGCGCTAGAAATACGCATACGCACACCTACACACATATGTACATATGTATTTAAGCATGCTAAGGGCTACTTGCATGCAGCATCAGCTGCTACTTGCCACAAACAAAAAAAAAGCCAATTTTGTTGGGAGGGGGGTGGGCGTTTTTGTTGTTGTCACCTATGTACACGCATTAACCGTTTTGCAAACGAACTAATTGAGCGCAAAATACAATATTCATTGAATGGCAGTGGCTGTAGAATTCCATATACATACATACATGTGTAGTTGGAGTATTCGCAGCTGCGCCGCCGATAACTGGTTGCTACTTGCGACATGCCACATGCCACATGCCACATGCCGCGCACAGGTAGCAACGCTTATCAATCGTATACAAAGTAATAATATGCGTGCAGAGGTGGCCGCCGCCACTCACACTCCTCTGTGTGCGTTTATTGCTAGCGTATGTGTGTGTGTGTGTGTGTGTGTGTGTGTAAAAGTGTTAAACGTTCTATACTTCTGGTGTATTCGCAGCCATCGTTAGGGGTTGAAATTGCATTGCTGCACTCATTGGTGCTTGGTGGACAGCAATTTCCTAGCGGGTAGATGGCATGACAAAGCTGAGCATGCGCATTGGTCAGTTGGTTTTACGTAATTTGCACAACCGTAGTATACTTGCAGGCGGGTAAGCACAGGGAATGTTGACAGCTAGAAGCAGCATAGAAGCATGGTACAATGAAGAAAACATCCAGTACGCATACAAGCGCGCTGTTTTATCTACAAATGTATGTATGTATGTATGCGTGTGTTTAATGGTGACTTTACCACACCGCAATGATCAATCTGGACATGCAAAGGAGAATTGGCAAATACGTTGACAATTTTTCCATGAGGAATGAGAGTGGTTGCTTGAATGTGCTTGGCGGTGCTTGAGCCAGCGACTTTTTGCCAAATCCTTCGAATCAAAGCCGGCCAGATTTAGCTTTGCACTTGTTGCATTCGGACAAATAACGGGACGCTGCAAATCGAGATCGAGAAAATCGAAGTGAAAGGGTAGCACATAGTTACCATTAATTGTAGCAAAAAATAAAAAATAATAATAATCAAACAGGCAAATCAGGAGATTATTAAATTCTACAATATTTTTGCTTTTGCCTTGCAGCGAAATTGCGAAATAATTAACAAATCTCTACAAAGGTACAACAACAATTATAAAATACCCTTTCTTGTTTGTCATGCAGTTGTACGCAATTTGGAGAAAATGTACGCCATAAACGATTTCGAGCTGTTCTTCAAAGTGGATATAACTTAAACAAAAAAAGTCTAAAGTGAAAAGTTAAAACAAAACATATTGCAAAAATGCCGTGAATACCTACAAACTAGGTAACACAGCGAGTTTCAATACTCTCCTAAATAAAAAAAAAAAAAAAAACAAAAAAGGTAAAACACAGTGAAACTATTAACAACAAATTAAGAAAAAAAAGGTAATTTGCATTTGTGAAGCTTTAGTGTCTTATAGCACCGCACGCAAATTTGAAAAATTCAAGTATTTCCAAATCGAAATAAGTGAAAAGAGATATTCTATTATTCAGCATTTTGCATTCGTGGCAGTGGAAATTTTTTTTCGTGTCACATCGTGTATAGCGTTCGTCATTGACGCAACGTCATTCGTTTTGCTGCCATATTGAAAATTGGATTACCTAACGCATTTCAAAATGGAGGACGAGAGTGACGACAAGGACGACACAAAAAGGTACGTCGACAACATATGTACATATGTATACATATACATGTATGTATGAATTCCACTTCGTAATCGTATTATTCAACACTTTGCAAAAGAATATGTTTGTTATTATTTGCGCACGACGGTTACTATATTTGCAATTACACATTTACAGCCTTTCCTATATGTATTAGCTAATGATTACCTATAAGAAAAAACAATTCACTTAATTTAAAAACATTGCATATGAAAAGATATTTAAATTGTTAAATAAACATTGTAGCTTTTATAATTCTATTCTTAAATTTTTCACAAATCTTACAAGAAATCGGTTTTAGTCATTGAACTAAAATATCTAGGCATCACTAATCATTTACTGGTTTTATATGTATGTATGTAAAAAGGTACATATATTTGAAAATTGTGATAAATTATGCGTAATAAAGCCATTCTTGTTCAAAAATGTCCAACGAACTCAAACCTGTTTAGTAATTTTCAATAACATTTGGTGAGCATGCCTTGACTTCATTTAATTCAACTAATTCGATCGTGACATTTTCTAACCATCACCAAGTAGGACCAAAAATCAATACAAAGGGCCCTTTAACCCGTTGCTGGCATTTGTATCATATATCGTAAAATTTCTTTGCAACTTTTGAAGACTTTTTATTTATTTTTTTTTTTTTTTGAATGCTGTCACATGCCGAAAATAAAAGCTTTAAAAGATCTACACAAATAAAAATGTAATTTTAGCTCAAAATGAGATTTTTTTGACCGAAGAAGCAAAACCGTGTATGTACAAAAATGCCACATAACTACTCCATTTCCGAACATTGTGCGATATTTCGTACAAATTTCAATGAGCCGTAGACCACGCCCAGACCTTTTTTTAGTTTTAAGTTATTTTAAACAAAATAGTCGTGAAAAATTGATTTTAGATTTTTTTAGATGACTTGTTTAGAAGATGGTAACAAAGGGTTAATAATCTACGTAGAGAAAAGCCGCGCCTACTTTAGCATTTGTTCCAAATAATATATAATATGAAGGATTAATATAATTTAATCTGTAATGTAATTTTAAATTCATCTTGAATATATTCCTTTTACTAAAATACATCAGTTATTTTGCTATACAAAAATATTGCATTACTAAACTGCAAGAAAGTCTCTTAAAGTTTTTTGAGATTTTCCTATTTTTAGAGAAAATGAGAGTTGTTAATTGAAAAAGTTTAAAAGTAATATGGAATCATCAGTGAGTCCTGAAACCTAGTGCATTTAACGGTAGTTTGCAGAAATATGAAAACTGTGAAGTAACTACTGAAGCTTATTGATATTTATTGATTGATTGATATTTTTGATATTATTATTTATGATATTGCGCTGGCAGCTCACCACAACCTTAGACCATTTATGGACATGACAGTCGGGTCTACGTAACCGGATCGACCCAGATTTATATCTGACCAAGGACTGTCACTCCAGCAACACTCCCCAAAAAGTCTTTGGGGAATTTGTATGCTGCTACAACAACAACCATTTCTGGAATTAAGCATTTTGGATGGTGTCCCGTTCCAGATTCTGGATGGAGACGATATCCGCTCGCTGAAGTATAAAAGCCTTTGACCCATGATAAGTACATGAGCAATCGGGTTGCGATATCGACAGAAAAAACTTCGATATTCTCGATGTCGATATATCAGATTAAAAAATTCGATGTCGGAAACATCGACGAGAAACAACGATGCTTTCGATATTTCAAAAGAAATCTTGGAAATATCAATTATAAGATGCGTTCAAGCGATTTTTTTACTAAAACTTGTAGAACTGTCGAAAAGGAAAATATCTCTCACATGAAAAACTGCTGGAAAAAACATTTTTTATGCAAGTGTATAAATGTCAAATGTTTATTTACAGATTTATTTATTCAGACAGGCGCCAAAATTCTAACACACGAAATTGTATTTATTTCTTAAAATATTTTGTTATTTTGGAGCGATTGTCTTCTGTTCTGCTAAACATATTTGCTACAATTTGCTTCAGCTCTTTCACTTGTTGTTTGCGAATGCAACACTGCTCTTCATTTGACAGAAGAAAAACTTTGGACTAATAAATCCAGCAAATTCTAACTGACTGTGAGCATATTTCACTCTCACGAAAGTGCTCTTAGTTACAGCAAAATTGCTGCTGCTTTTCGGACAAAATCCTGCAAAACCTTCAAATCTCACTGCTGCTGGAATGCAACTATTAAATGCATCATAGTGTCATACTAGGTTTAGATATATAGCATTTTCAGTTTAAATGAAACCATTTTTAAATTAAGCGAAACCTTTTTCAAATTAAAAGAAACCTTTTTCAGATTCAATGAAACTTTATTCAAATTAAATGAAACTTTTTTCAAATTAAATGAAACTTTATTCAAATGAAATGAAACTTCTTTTTTGGATTACTTTGAATTAGCTGTTACGTGTTGTTCTCCCTTACGGTCAAGGCATGTTAAATACAGTGTTGCCGTTTCGGTCCAATTGGTACTTTCATTTCTTAAAATAAGGCTTTGGTAGGTTGGTTGGTTTGTTGTGATTTTCGAGGGGTTTTGGTAACTAGGCAAATCATATAATTTATTCATTTTATAAAACTTCAAATATCTCTGTTTTCGGAAGTACATGTAAAGGATAATGTGAAAAGGAAAAGAGAACATGAGAGACATGTCCCATGTCAAAATTATTCTTGAACCGAAGTTGAATGTTTCCGTGATTAGACTGTGCTCTATTCCATAGAGTTTGCCAAATTTTAAATTTCGCTTAATCGAGTGAGTGAGAAGGGAGAGTATTTGTACTTTATTTCCCTCTTCTCCCTTAAGAAAATAATAATTGACAGCTTTGAATTCGTGTAGCAACAGTAAAAATATTCTCCCAGTTAAACATCATAATCAGGAGTTAAAGCTCTGTTACGTACGTGTTTTTACGTATAAATCTAAACCAACAGACTTCTACGTATGTAATGCTGTGCGTTGGGTAACAGCTTACACGCGAAGCTCATTTAACAGATTCCTTATGTGACAACTCTCACGCAATGCCAAGTATGCATAACAGAGCCTTTAGTGTTAGCCAGACATGGTGCAAACGGCTCTTAATAGGTTAAGTTGATTTCCTGTTCCTTAATTTAAAAATGTTTAATACTTAATTTGAATGAAGTTTCATTTAATTTGAAAAAAGTTTAATTTGGTTTGAATAAAGTTTCATTGAATCTGAAAAAAGTCTCATTTAATTTGAATAAAGTTTCATTGAATCCGAAAAAGGTTTCATTTAATTTGAAAAAGGTTTCGCTTCATCTGAAAAAGGTTTCAATTAATTTGAAAAAGGTTTCGCTTAACCTGAAAAAGGTTTCATTTAATTTGAAAAAAGTTTCATTTAAACTGAAAATGCTATATATATTATCCTCATCATTAACTCCCTTATCTGTAATTAGAGAAATAGATTAGCCATACAAAATTCGTTCCTCGTTAATCCGTAATTATAAAATAGTCTCAGATTAAACCGATAACTTTTCGGTGTCCAACCTAGTTTTATCGATTATTTTTGAGAAGAGGCGAAATTCCAAATGAAAAAGTAAACAAAAATTGTAAGTTAACATATATTTCAATTGCTTAATATAGCAGAAAAGGTGATCACGATGACACAGAGAAGGAATAATAATATGGAATTTGCCTGTGTAAACGGGATGATTAAAAAACGAACTTAGATTGAGAATATATGTATATGTAAACATACTTTAACTTTTAAATAAATTTGACATGACCTCATAACACGATTGAGAGCATACAAAGGTTGCGCCGATCTCGGACCGCTATTCCTCTCTGAACAAATTTGACAGAATCGTGGTTTGCATGACGTCACACTTGTGCAACTTGTTTACGTTTTCCTTGCAACATTTTCTTCTTCTTCCATTCTTGCTCACGTTTTGGCATTTCTCTCTCGCAATTACACCAGTGTGACGTCACACAAAAGTTATTCTCAAAAATCCTCTCTGATCGGCGCAATCTTGTATTCTATCATTCTTGACCTCATAAGTACTGCTGCTCGAATAGTGTCTTTGCTTGGCACTTTATACACTGAAACCAGCACTGGCAACTGTTGCAAACGGCTTGTTATCTACTACAATCAGTGCACGGACTTCGACAAAATGAATAGTGCTAGATTTTACATACGAAAAATAGTAGAAGTTGGTAGATTTTTTAAAATAAGTATTAATAGATAGTTTCCACTCGTACAAGGCCTGTTTCCAGCTCGCAAGAAAAACGAAGAATTCATATAAATGTTGTTCATTTTCATTTATAAGCTCGTCGAGCATATTTTGCTCGAAACCGCATTTGGGACTTGAAACGAAAATATATACCTGCGTTCCGATTTGTCTAGTTCCTATTCGGCTTAAAGCACGGGCATGTAAAAAATTCGCCAATTGTAAAATTGTATGTATGTATAATTATTAAGTATGTACAGAGCAGGGTGGCCACTTTGATGGTTGATAATGTAATTCGGTGTCAAGTTTTGATAACGTAACTTTGGTTCATACATTATTGTGTGAGTAGATTAGTCAACTTTTGATGGTTTATTTTCGTTCGTTCGATTAATCAAAGGCAAAACTTCGATGCAATTAAATAGTTAGCCGCAAGATTATAACCATTTACATACATCTTTAATTTGTTGGCAGAAAAATTTGCTATCTCGTCTCTATAATACTCTCCGGTTGACCACGGACCATAGACAACAGGAGCCCTCCTCCCCTTCGGTTGGTATCTTGGTTATGCAATGTTTTTAATAAAATCAGATATCGAAACGGAAAATGAGCAAATCAAACAAATGGCATATCCATTTCAAATAGAAAAGAAAGTTCACACCTCCTAACAGTACCGAATATACATATGTACATACATACATACATATGTAGATAAACGGCGCTGAACGAGATTGGTAAAAACAAATTACTCTGATTTAATTAAGTTACATAATTGAATATACATACAAACAAATAAATACAGCGTTTGCAAATATTTGACAATATTTATGTATGTATGTATTAAGGATGTATGTATGTATGTATGTACGTATAATCACAAACGAACTAAGTTGTGAAACAAGAGAAAAATACGCATATCACTAGGTAACCAATCGGAACTTGCTTTAGCGAAATAGAAAAACAGAAAAAAAAAACACATCGCGAAAAGAATGGGAAGCAGAGCTCTCCTTCAGCTGGATACGGTTGTCCGCGCATTGCAATTGCGCAATTGCGTAATGTCAAGTATGCGAACCGTATAGAAATGTTTGTTATATGTATTTTGACACAAACTGTCAAATGCAAGCAAGCGCCCGACTTATTGTAGCGCGAAATAAATGCAAAAGCCATCATAGCCACGCATTTGGCATTTCACCTGAAATCGCACGCACGCACACACACCAGCACGACCAGCGGCAACAAAGCTACTTAGTTAGTACAGGGTGCAAATGCACATACATACACACATAGTTACATAAGTATGTATGTATGTGCAGCTATGCATGTAGAGAAGGATAAGCGTGGGAGTGACGCTTGTAACTTCAAATTTTGAAAAGTAAACAAATACGAAAACATATGCAACGATTTAGTTAGAACTTTTTGTTTGTGATTAGTCAAGCGTACTCTTGTAAATACATAGGTACACATACATACATACATATATGTACATCCATACATGCATGTCTGTTGTTATAAACTTAAGTTATTAATAAAATGAAATACCTTTGCTAGATACACATACATATGTACCTAAGTATTTATTATTACATATGCGGATATGACGATGAAGAGTGAATGGCAACACTCAAACCTACATACATACATACATACATTCACATGTGGGTGTATTTTAGCCTCGCGTGTACAAGACACCCTACAACTGGTGGCCAGTCAATATTTATTTCAGGGTCGCAGATCCATTAACTGCCAGAAGCACCTTGAAAATTTAAATGCTGAGGTTCTCGCACAGCTCTTTCATTTATTTTGAATAACTCTCTTGGATCAAAAAATGGTGGGTAGGCACTGTGGCCGTTGGTAACCATCAATCACCACCTCTGTATGGTTGTAAGTCGTACAGAGGCTCCAGGGAATGCGTCAGACTAGGCTGAGCCTTGAAGTGCAATCAACTTATTAAATAAGACGCGATTGCCATATGGCACTTGCGAAGTGCATTTCCGTGAAAAAATTATAATTCCACTTACATATCCCAGTAGATAACTACAGGAGTTAGAAGCCCTTCCGAAAGGCCTTCCTGAGAGTCAAGAGGCCTTCCACTCTATATTTCCTTCTCCTTTCTTTTTTGTATGGAGTGGCACAAATTGAAGGGCTTCTTCTTTCGCTACCCATGGAAGGGTTTTTATAGGACATACTTCAGAAGGCCTTTTGGAGGAATTATTTTAAAGTTTCTTCGTTAATTTATAAAAATCATACATCTTTGAAGTATTTGCTTAAGGTTTTTTGATTCTAGTTGGCTTAACAAATGAAATAGTGGAAAAAGGCAACAAGAATTCACAATGCGAACTTATCACAGTGCGTAGGCAACTGGCTGAGTCAGTGGGATCGTCGGTTCGAGTCCTACCGAAAGAAGCTTGATGAGGAAATGTAGTGATTTCCCAAAATAGCTATCACTTCTAACATTTTTTCAAGTTATTGTTGCTTTTCCACAATAAGTTTTTCATTAAAAACGGCCTCAAGCTCAATAAAAATTGTTGAATATAATTTTTATAAGGCCATGAAATAACAAAAACAATTAATGAATTTAGTCTTTAGTCGGGTGGCAATCCTAGTACACCACCTGAATAATATTCTAAACGTTCAATCTAAAGGTTTCTTAATAATATTTCATTTAACACCCATATTTTCATTTTTCAGATGGCCTGCTAATAATTAATTTAAATTTGACTTTTCGAACGGGTGGCAACACTTTTCAAAATATTTTCAAGCTACAACATTTTTAAGTCTCTTGACATCAATTTTTTAATATAATTTTCAAATAAATAATTCCCTTTATTTAAGTCGAATTTGATTTTATATATCTCCATACCAAGTTCCAGTACTCTCGCAAAAATATTTCCTGCGATATGCAGTATGAAAAATACCGTTTGTATGGGAGGTACTACGCCCCCTTGTACAATTGATATTAAATCTATCTTATATTTTAAGTTGGGCTAAATGACACCAGTTTCATCGTAATCGGTTGAGTAGTTAAAGCGTGAAAGTGTAACAAACAAACAAACTCACTTTCGGATTTATAATACTACTAGTAATGATAAGGATTATTCGACATTAAGATTTAATTCATTTACTGAATAAAATGTGAGGAATAGGTACATTAAATATGGTTTTTGTTGTTATACATTTTATTTAAATTAAATTATTGATAAAAACGAGTGTAAATACATACGTATATACAATCTTTACTACATCAAAAAAATTATTAAACGATAATTAAGACTTGGTGCTTTTGTTTTGGAAAAAATTGGCCTTTTCTGGTGTCCTGATGCCACACTGGCTCTGTTGTCGCAAAAGTACATACATATACACGCATTTTTACTCGAAAATAAGTGTGTAGTGGTTAATAGGTATACGTTGCCATTTCTGTACAACTCACTTCTCTCGCCTAGCCCTTTCGCGAGCTTGCAGTTGCCCTCGACGCCGACGGCGTGCACCTCTGCTGTGCATCCCTAATCCACGGCACTGCGGCGTGGTTATCAGTCTGAATATTATCCAGTCGCGCCTCTTCTCTACTAAAAACACCTAAGAACTTAGACATTAGCTTAAAACAGAGTTCCTGGCAACGTTTTGGTCATGAATATACAAATTTACGGAATCTTTGCCTAAACTGTTGCAACTTTTCTACACATTTCTTTGCGTATTTGTGTTGGAGAGCCCTAGGGTGCATTAAATGCCACGCTTTCTCCCTTAAACTGATCGTAGAGTGAACTTGAAATACCTTTCCTGCAATATCTACAGGTACGAATGACCTGCGAATGGGAAGACCAATTACTGATGAAGCTTAAGTAATCTGCTTGAGGTCAATTTTGGCGAACATTATGCAGGTTTAGTAAGATTATGAAGGCATGTATGAAGCTATCTCACCTTCTACTCGTAGCCATATTTTCCCATTGCGCATGCCCTCTATATGTCAGGAGGGATCAGCCACCATCAAAGCCTCATTAAAGTGTCTGTTAAACCATTCCCTGCCCAGAATAGAATTTTGGATGCCGACAGTTTCCTTTTCATTATCAGTGCCGTGCTGGTGAAAAAGCGAGATCCCAAGTGCTTGTTTCACCTTGTCTGGATGTCTGGAGAGCTGGAAATGTACACAGGAAATGGTAAATCAATTTCCTCTTATCTCGACAACTTCTACAGAAAATACTTACTTGGTGGTATACGCCATCGTTGGAGCATTGGAAACTTCCTATTATAACATCGATAAGAATTCCGACTACTGATTTGTTTAACGTCAAAACTTACTCAGCTCGTTCCTTTTATGAATCGACCATAAAAACCTTGAGACTCCATAGGAGTGGTGTAACTACCCATCAATTTCTCTGAGTAGCACGTAAATCGGCTATGATCGTTGGCCAAGAATGATCGTTGGCATGACTCAATGATGCTAGCTAAGTGCACCCTTTGACGAATGTTGTCTGGGTCGTCTTCTTTCGAAGTTTAGAAGCTTGGCCACCTTCAAATCGAGCAGGTCACCATTTTTTCGAACAGCCTCTCCTCTAAAACGAACACGGAGCTAGTTAATGAGTGAATAACTCTTTTAAGTAGGGTTAGTAGCTAGTACGAAACAGATTTAATTTGGCTGATGATGAGTTAGCCTGAGAAGTCTTAATCTAGTATAAAATCTTTCCTGCAATCTTTTTATTTCAGTCTGGCGAATAACTAAACTAATATAATAATAATAATAGATTGGCGGTCACACATATGTTAGTGTTTGGCCGAGCTTCTCCTCCGATTTGTGGAGGGACACATAAAGGGGCGGGACCTACAGTTTTACGCCGACTCCGAACGGCGATTGTATTTTTAAGAGAAGCTGTTCTTTGCTTATATCCAGCTTTATTTAGTATCATAAATACCAGAATACTAAGGGCATTTGGGTTCATATCATTGGAAGCTCTGTCTAATTTGTGTAGGCCTTCATAACATAATCACATGACTTAGTTGCTATTTTGGCGTAAATATATATTTCGCTGGCATTCCAGCTTAACATACCCGTCTGGGGAAAAGAGTTCACATACATTAAAGGGCCAATTAAACAAACGATGTCTCTCGCTCTCATCCTTACATTTCTTATTTCTTTTATTTTTAACCGACTTCACAAAAAGGACAAAGGTTATCGATTCGTCGGAATATTTTTCTTTTTTTTTTTTGTGTGTTACCGCATAGCTTCGGACCACGTTAACCGATTTCTATAATTCTTTTTTTAAAGGAAAGGTGTTAACTCACTGGTGGTCTCATATATTAATTTAGTTTAAATCCGATCATCGGATAATCAAGAAATAATCTTAAGTTTTTATATGAGAATTGAAGTCGGTTTCGTTTTTTGCTTAAATTTGTACATTTTGTAGATTACTTATTTGGCACTATGGTTATAATGCTTTTCCACTTAAGTGTTATTATTTAATATTTCAGAAAATCTCGAAACCTGAGCGAGAAGAAGAGGCGAGATCAATTTAACTCCCTAGTGAATGATTTGAGTGCGCTCATATCAACATCAAATCGGAAAATGGATAAGTCAACCGTACTCAAGTCGACGATAGCATTTCTGAAGCATCACAACGGTGAGTATTTTAGATAAAATTTAATTTGCCTTTAGTGGAGAGTTAACTCACACATTCGACAACTTACACTCGGCTTTTAGTAAGTACAAAAATTGAATCCTAACTTCCATATGAGAGTTAAATCTCCACGGCTCTTAAAATTTCTTCTCCATAGTGCATACTACATACATACATAAATAATATAACTAGTAAATTTGCCGACATTTTCTTGCAGAGGCTACCGATCGTTCGAAAGTTTTCGAAATACAGCAAGACTGGAAGCCATCATTTCTGACCAATGACGAGTTTACGCATCTTATGCTGGAATCGCTGGATGGCTTCATCATAGTGTTTAGCGGTATTGGTTCCATATGCTATGCATCCGAAAGTATTACACCACTTTTGGGCTACTTGCCGGTAGGTAATCACTTTACCGCTCAATGATTAAGGCATCTTTTAAACATCCCTGCATGCGTCTACATCTATTTGCAGAGTGACCTAGTGAATATGACCATTTTCGATTTAACCTACGAAATGGATCACGAAAGTCTGCTTAATATATTCTTAAATCCCAAACCGGTGATCGAGCCGCTACAGACTGACATCAACTCAAGGAATCAAATTACCTTCTATTTGCATTTAAGGCGTGGCGGTATTGACAAAGTGGACGTCAATGCGTACGAGTTAGTCAAATTTGTAGGTTATTTTAGTAAGTATAAATTTCACTCTTTGAAGAACCCGAAATATAGAGCCTATTACGTGATTTTTTCAAAATTTTCCATATTTCATCAATGCAGGAAACGATGTGAGTCCGGAAAGCATACAAGCACAAAATACTCTTTCGCTGCCGCGCATCTTTCAAATGAATCCCGGTGCTGAGGTAGACAAGAAGCTGATTTTCGTTGGCACCGGCCGCATTCAGACGCCCCAGCTGATACGTGAGATGTCCGCGATCGATCCCACCTGCAGCGAGTTCACCTCGAAGCATAGCATGGAATGGAAATTCCTCTTTCTCGATCATCGAGCGCCGCCCATTATTGGCTACATGCCGTTCGAGGTGCTTGGCACATCGGGCTACGATTACTACCATTTCGATGATCTCGAAAGCATTGTCACATGCCATGAGGAGTGTAAGTGATATACATACATATGTACATATACACACTGCATATCTATTAACGCGATCCTAACTAAATATAAAACACAATTTCACTCAACAGTAATGCAGAAAGGCGAGTGCAAGTCCTGCTATTATCGCTTCCTCACCAAAGGACAGCAATGGATATGGCTGCAGACAGAGTTCTATGTGTCGTACCATCAATTTAGCTCGAAGCCAGACTACGTTGTGTGCACACACAAAGTGGTTAGCTACGCAGATGTCATACGACAAAGTAAGGATGGGACAAAAATGGACAAGAGTTCGTCGATCAACAATAGCACCAGCAAATCATCAACTATGACGCTGCGCGACCTCGAGACCAGCAACCCAAGCCTGGATCCTTCCACACTGTCCGCGAGTGATAGTGGTAATGTGATATTGAGCATGTTGAACGAAGCCTCGCCTACGCTGGACACATCGCCGATATGGCCAAATTCCTCCTCAACCACTGGCATAACTCCCACCACTTTGAAGACATCGCGTCCCGCCTCCAGCTATGGTAACATTAGCTCCACTGGAATCTCGCCGACGGCAAAACGAAAACGTTACTTTCCGCACAGGCCTGGCAATGAATCTGACTCGACATCTATGTCTGCGGACTCTGTAACTAGCAAGCAATCGCTTATGACGCATTTGAGTTCGGTGAGTGGTCAGGCAGTCTTTACTATAGCATTTTATGAGAGTATAATGAGTAAATTTCCGCAGAGTCGACAACGCCATAGTCATAGCTCGGGCATGCAAATGTCTCAGAGCACAACACATGCACAGCAGCTGGCCGCAGTCAATCAACATCCGCTGCCGCAGCAAAACTCAGCGCTGCAAATGAGCCAAGCGCAAAGCCAACAGAAGATCATGCCGATGCTGCCGCAGCATACAATGGCGCAGGCGCAAATTGTCACGACTAACGCTTGCCAATTTACACAGCCCACTTTCCCGCTTCCCAGTTCTCAAATAGTGGGACCAACTTTTCTGGAACCCTCTCAGTACCTCGCCGCGATACCGGTGCAGCCGGTAATAGCGCAGTTTCCAGTTGCTCCGGTGCTATCTCCGCTGCCCATTAACGTTAATATGAACACCGCAACGCCGTGGAAAGCAGCAACACAGACACCGAATAACGCTTTCGATCAGCTGCAGAATCAGGCCGACATGATTTCGGGTGCGGTGGTGATGACACCGACCCAGACCCAGCTGCAGGATCAGCTCCAGCGCAAACACGATGAGCTACAGAAGCTGATTATGCAACAGCAAGACGAGCTGCGAATGGTCTCCGAACAGCTGCTGCTGGCGCGCTACAAGCTACTGCAGCCAATGTTGCCAATGAATTATAATACGCCCTCCAACAACAACCGCGGAAGTTTCAACTTTGCCAGCGGCAACGCTATGGAGCAACAATTTAATCAGTTCGGCTTCACGATGAATACTTCCGAGCATCTGCAGGACGCGACAAGTCAGCAAATGCTGATGCAACAGCAACAGCAACAACAGCACCAACATCCGCAGCAGCAACACACTATGCAACACCTGCCGCAGCAACAACAGCAGCAAATGCATAACCACAATCACCAGCAACAGCAACAGCAACAGCCCGCATTTCAGCCCACCAATCTGCATCATCATCAACAGCAGCAGCAGCCGAGTCAGCAACAACAAACTGCTCAGCTGCAACACGCGGCAATCCAGCAGCAGCAACAACCGCCACAGCCGCAGCTACAGCAACAGCAGCAATTAAATCTCTTATCACGCAGTGTACCTGATCTGGCCCAATTTGGCCACGATGACATCGACGCGTTCTTCAACCTATCGCCATTGCCAACTATGAGCAACACCACCCAGTCGACGCTTAATCAGCGCAACAACAATATCAATGCGGTGGGCAGCAGTAGTGGACAACAGCAACAGCAGGCGACGCTAAATCAGAATTTCATTAGCAGTGCCAATCCGCCGCAAACCTCGAATGACGACTCGCTGCTCACCTACATGCAAATGGCCACCGATGCCAGCCCGACACTCAACTTCCCGATGAGCATCAGTGACGATAGGCCTGATCCGGCGCATGGCGATCGCATCGACAACAAACTCATCGGCAGCAATCAGCCACTGCAATCAGCGCAACATCAAATGCTGGCAACACACCAGCAACAGCAGCAGCAACAGCAGCAGCAGCGTACCAACAATTTCTTTCCCAGTAATCCATTCGAAGCGCTCGGCAATCAAGTGACCACAAATCAATTACCAAACGATCTGGAAATATTGCCTTACCAGATGTCACAGGAACAGTCGCAGAACCTCTTCAACTCGCCGCAGTCCTCGAGAAATAGTCAATAACCTTAAGCTTTAGTTTTAGTTAGATTATTAGTAGTTGCCTAGATACATTTAGTTGGGTGCGAATGTGCGAGTGTGCCTGCTTTGTAAATAGGGATGTGAGCAATTTTAGTACGGTAAAGTTTAAATGAGCAGTATTGTGGATTTCCTGCGGTAAAACGGGGCACCTCATCCAGTACTTTGTATGTGGACCCGTTTCAATGCCCATAAATGGTGCAATTTATGAAGTTTTTTCCTACAGCAGCCGGGTCCATTATTTCGAAGGCAGCTACAAACAGTTAATGCCATGGACCCAAGTTTTATTGCAGGTTGCACTGGGTAATGCTAATGGAAGATATCTTTTGTGCGTGCGTTTTTGTGTTATATTGAGGTAATAAATTACTTAAGGATTTGTTGTCTAGGAATTAACGAATGTTTTTTCATGATATTTCAGTTTAAATGATTCTTGCCTATAGATTTTATTTCAAGAATCTTTGTAGTTAGGAGAATCGCATTTATGTATGTAGATAATTTTCAAAGCGACAATATTAACCTCATTTAGATGGCGGCTACGTAGATCGATTGACTTCAAATTCGACTGATTTTGATTGTTGGCAGGACGACAACGCAAAAGTAAATGAGCTTTTTAATCGATTTTTATATATGAGAGCTGCTAGGACGGATCGTGCACAATCTTGAAAATGTATTAACTAAAAAAATTTTACTAGCTACAGACACGTAAACGTAGTAAATGGTCTTGAGGAGTGCAAATATCTATACTTTGAAATTCTATGAAGATAATTTTTCGAGAGAAAAGTGAAGCTTATGCCGAATTTCCACTAGACATTGAAATGACGCAAAATGCATGCCATTTAAAAAAATGCCATGTGAAAATGAATGAAATGATTCCCGACCCGGCACACTGTGTTCTGTTTTGGGAAAAAATGGACAAAATCAAATATCTGCCGATCCAAACCAGATAGAGACTCAAACTAAACCGGTTAAGGAACAGCTGGTAACAGTGGCATACCCTAAGGAAAATTTCTTGTTAGTGACGGAGTGGCTTGTTTTGGCATACAGATATTGCAGAACCGTCTAAGATATTCCCACCTCCCTGCGTGCGACTCAACCAGTCTCTATAAACAATTTTCCACACGATGGAGCTCAACACCTTGTTTAAGATAGATAAAATACCATTTGGACCCGGCGATTTAAAGCTGCCAAAGGAACCAAAAGTAGATACTTCTTATGGAATTTTAGTGCTGCTTAGCACAAATCAGTTGTCCGTTCACACGACAGGACAACTAATTTCCATGGAACAAGGAAATTCTGTGGGGCTAATACATACATATGAGATTACAAATAGCTTCTGGTGATTTTTTGAGTGAAGTGAAGAGTGAAATTTAAGTTGATACATTTGAAGAAAATGTACTATTGGAGCTTTCAAAAGCCTTCTTTGAAAAGTCAGAATCGCTCGAATGAGAAAATGAAAATGTAAAGTGGTTGATCTTGTAGCTTATCAGTTGTGAGTTTACTATATGTATTTCATAAATTATGGGAAAAAGTGTTTAAGTAGCTCCTGAATAAACGATAAGAAGACAGTAAGGCAGGGCGCACATTAGAGCGATACGATGCGTGATACGATAAGCGATGCTGAGTACGCGTGAATTGATAAGAAGCGATGAAAACGATGCTCACTTGCACGACAGCGACATTGCTCCGACATATGTATGTACATATATCGCCAATCGTATCGCTCTAATGTGCACTGCGCGCATATCGATGTCGCTTTCATATGGTATCGCATATTGTATAGCCAATCGTATCGCTCTAATGTGCACCGTGCCTAACACTTTATTTAGTAAAGAAAGCTACTCCATATTTTTTTCAGTGAAGGATCCCTTAAAATTATGTATAGTTTGTAAGAATTATTTTTTTCAAAAATAAAACTATTTTTGCAAGATTTTCCTTATGGAGTTAAGCACTTTTTACACTCTTCAATACAAATGTATGTACATACATACATATTTACATAATATTTTGTTCCAATGGAACTTATACATATTTAGAGTTGAGCAGTTATGTGATTATTTGAAGCATGTGATTGAATTGTGTTAAGTTTTATATTTTAGATTTTTTAATTCTTTATTGGCAAAGTACAAAATTTAGATAATGGAAGCTTATCTGGTCACTATAAATTTTCTTAGCACATCTTTAGCTGATAATAAAAAATAATTATTTATTTCAATTGTGTTATTGAGCTTTGTACCACGACAAGCTTAAATAGCGGCGTAGGTTGAATAAGGAAAGGCTCAGTGGTTCGCGCTTCTGACTTTGCACATCGATGATGCGGGTTCGATGCCTGCTGAAAGTCTAGAAAAAAAGAAGTCTGACGAGGAGATGTGGCGATTTCCGGAATAGCTTCTATAACTTCTACCGCTTAAGCTTTGTTGTTTTCTTCTCATTTTTCCTGACAAACAAATCGTGGTACAAAGCTCAATAACACTATTGAAATAAATATTGATACGCCACAATACAAATTGAAAAAAAAATATAATTATTTTAATAGGATAAGATTCAAAAACGCCAATAATGCAAAAATATCTTAAACATTCCAAATAATTAAACTAAAAATTTTCTTAATTTAAGTCTTAGCGTAAATTCGAGACACTTTAATTTTTTATATTTATTAAAACAAAAATCTTATTGCGGAGTTTTTCAATTGAACAGCTTTTTTCAAACTTAGATTGTGATATAATTTAAGGAATAAGTTATCGCTTTTATACAAGGATGTGTGCAAGTTTTTAATCAAATTGAATTTTTAGCAGCAAATATTAATAGAATAATACATATACATGTAGATACATATTTAGAATAGAAAAAATGCTGAATCTCCTCAGGTTTTCAACAACGTATTGATTAATCGAACAGGGAAGTAAGTAAACTGCAAACACTTTCACCCCCTAGGATTGTTCTATACCGAAGAGAAATATACCCTTATTTTTAACCGGCTTCCACACAAGGATGAGGTTATCAGTTCGTCGGAATATTATTTTTTTTTTTTGTATGTATGTTACCGCATAACTTTGGACCACGTCAACCGCGGATAGGTAGTGTCTCAGAGATGGTCCCATACTAATTTTTGCGTTTTTTTTTGCTAAAAATTACTTGTTTTTATCTTGAAATCAAAAAATATTTAAAGGTCGCTCAAAGCGCCCAAAGTTTTCCGTGTATATGGGGAAAAAACAATTTTTCGTAGAAATGATATAGAATAGTTAAAAATAAATATTTCTCCACCACAAAACTCTGCTTATCTGCATGAGATTCCCAATAATAATACTTAATCGTTTATTTAGCCATTTTTTCATTGCAACTATAATTTATAGGTCCATAAAAACCCCACAAAAACCCCGAAAAATGCATTGGGCGAACAATAAAAAATTGTTAGTATTAAAAAATTGTCAAGTAAACAATTGGGTATTATTATTGAAAGTCTTTTGAAGATAACCAGAGTTTTCCGATCGAAAAATTTTGACTTTCAAGAATTATATAACATATATTTTTTTTTTCGTAGAAAAATTTATTTTTCCCATACAAAAATACATGGATAACTTTGAGCGCTTTGAGCGACCCCTAAATATTTTTTGATTTCAAATTCAAAAAATAGGGGTATACTTTTTTCGATATAGAACCATTCTAGGGGGTGAGAGCATTACAATTCCGATTTTACAGTTTTTGGACCACCCCAATGCTCATATTGTTACCTTGATATAGAAAGGTCTTAACTCATTCAAAGAAGCGAAATTGTTATAAATGGCCTTTCTACATAAAAATAACGATATGCTAATATTATACAAAAAATACGTTGACATTTTAAGTCAAGCAAAGTAAAATTGTCACTAATTGATTTAGTTAAGTCTGGATTCTCACAGTCAAGTTCAAAGAATATACTTATTTTTTTAATTTTATCTAAGAAACCATACTTGTTAAAATGCCAGAAACTATCTAAGTTTTTGTGTAAACAATCAGTGCCGTTTTCACAGCAACAAGTTGGCTTTCAATCGGTAGTTAACTCAGAAATTTTGTACGGAAACTGTGCAGTTAATTACCGAATAGAGTCCGACCGATTCCCAATTTTTGGCCGATGCTGATGCCGGTTAATCGGCGTTAGGGGAAAGTATCGGCCGATGCCGATACCGATTCCTTAAAAAAAAACTACCAGAATATAAATTCATTCAAAACCACATGCTTTTGATAAACTTTTGTAATAACAAATAGAAGGCGATCCGACAAGGGCACGACCTGCACCCATCTGTTTAATGGATGAAATTTACTTTGTATGAAATTTAACGAGTTAGGAAATATTTCGCGAGTGGGTTTGGCTGCAAAAATCCTGGCCAGCATATTTTTAATTAAATATTCAAAAATTAGAATTTTTTTTCTATTTTGCACTCATTTGTTTAATGAACCAATAACATAGATATATCCCAATCGAGTGAAAATTACTAGTATTACCTACCTGTTCATACCTGCCAACCCGATGGGTATTTTAGGAAAAAAATAGACAACCCAACGTTTTCACATTCTATAGGCTTAATACTATTGATTTTTGGAAATTTTTTTGTGGAAGGTGTTGCAGATTTTCTCCATACAAAAAACTTTTCGAACATACTTTCTTTGGAAGAAAATGCGTGAACAAAAAATTGTCAAAAATCAACACTAAAGGCGGGTTCACCCCGTTCGTGTCCGGACAACTTTTTATTTGCTCTGAAAACATTTTCTAAAAAATCCGATTAAACAGTTTCAAATTTTTATGAACAGTTGTTAAAATTGTGGAAAAAGTAAAAAGAATCGGCCAAAAACGGCCGATGCCGACTAATCGGTCGGACTCTATTACCGAATATGGATTAACTTGACACTATCTATGAAGGCGACACTGTAAAGCTCCACGAACTTTTCTTAGTTTGGATTGGTTGAGAGTTGTCTGTGTGTATAACGAAATACCGTGTAAATATTGTTATATTTTAGGTATATTTAAGTGTATGTAATAATTTGTAATATGTACTTTATGTAGTTTGTAGATAAACTAGCGTATAGTAAATTTTTATATAACTAGCTAAAGGAAAAATAAATAAAAAATTAATTTAAATCAACTTTCCTTAGGAGACCTTTTTTCTGCCCTCAGACATACATACTTACATACGTACAAGTTGGAAGGTAAAGTATCTATATCTTAATAAATTCTTTGGGAAGGACTTCTTAGAAAAAGATGATTTGAGTACACATTTGTACATACAGAAGCTAAGAACATCGAAACCCGTATTTTCTTATTTT